TAATCACTGCGGAAAAAAAAAAAAAAAAAAAAAAAGCCCAACGTTACGTCTTGTCCTGCTTATCAATATTCAATAACAGAAAAAAAAAATGGATTCTGCATCGTGCCGTTTTTCAATTTTTATCATGCACTTAAAGCTAAAATTAGGGTTGTTGTGGGCAGGTCATTGTATTGCTATAATAACCTATTCTGCCACGAAAAAGATAATAACGTGTTCAGCAATGATTGGCCAGATGTTTGAAACTATGAGAGCATAAAGAATGGTTATGATGTCCCATCAAAATAATCTAAGTCTTGTAAAGTGTCGGAAACTGATTTGAGGCACATTGTTTTACCTTGCTTGTAAAACCCTACCAAATGTAAAAGAAATGGAAACAACCATACAAAGAGAACATAAAATGTTAGCTGAAGAGAGGAAAGCAAAACTGCTGAATGCTGATAAATGTTTTACCTTGCTCGTAATTCAGCTTCATCTTTTTCCAACAGTGCTGGTAGAGCCACTGCCGTTCCACTCTGTATAATAACGCTCTGATACAAACCGCTGGCCAACGGGGACAGAAGCAACAGCGCAACACTAAATCCACCAGCTGACTCACCAAATATGGTGACTTTCTTAGAATCACCACCAAACCTGTAGCAAAAATAAATGAATAAACACATTTATGCCTAGTACAAACTAATGTCATTCCCAGATCTCTTATAGGTAACGCCTTCCAGACGTGGCGGAGCGAGTTTTGAATTGAGAGTCTCACAAGCGAACGCCAGAGGCGCTAACTTTTAGGGGGTCTGGAGATATTTGTAAATTTTTTGTATTTTATGTATTTTTTGCTTGAAATTTGGGGAGGTGTGTGTGGTGGGGAGGCCCCGCCGTCCCTGCATTCGCCATCGCCAAGCGATCTGGGAACGATGTTAATGTGCACTGCATTTTGTCACGATGTGTAAACAAAGGTAGCCACGAATGACATTGCGATGTCACCAAGTATGGCATCATCTTGAGAAGTAAAAGGTGAACAACAAATATTTTAAGTCAAGGTTATTCATTTTTGTTTACAAAAAAAAAACCTTTCAATGTTTTTGTTCACCCATCTCATGGCCTCTATCTGATCCAGCATGCCGTAGTTCCCTTTCAGATTGTCGCTATTTGAGCTCAAAAATCCAAAAACTCCCAAACGATAAGCCGCCGTGACAACAATCACGTTCCCCTCAGTTGCGAGCACGCTACCATCGTAAAATAGAGTATCCCCAGTGATATATCCGCCGCCATGAATCCACAACATAACTGCAAGCGAAGAATTGCTTGTGGCATTGCCTGGGACATACACATTTAACAGAAGGCAATCCTCGCTCATAAGCGGCAGTCTACTTGGCATACTAGGTTGTGGACAAATCTTGTCAATCTTNAGTCGGCAAAAAAGAATATAATTTTATCGAATTCTACATTTATAATCTTTCTATTGATATATAGTTTGTGGGGGTTTCACTCAAAACAGCACGCGTACGATTTTTTTTTTCTGGAGGACACCCGCGAAGGTTTGAAGTAACCTTATCTGCTCCGTTGCGATCCTTACTTTTAAAGTCTGATGTGCAATGGGCCACAGGCGGCCCAAGCTCACAATGTTAGGAGTTATCTTTTTTTTCACTTTTATGCGAACGTTCAGCATAACGTGACATATGGCATATTACATAACGATGAATTTGACTACGCGAAACGTGACTCTTGCCTTGCAGCATATGGAGGTGTTGTGTTACAACGGTTTGAACATAGTTAGTAGATTTGTCAACGATTTGTCATCAGCCAAACCAAAATGCTCCTCAGGTACCCTCGTGCTTTATTTATCAAGCCCACCAAGAAGCTGTTGACAAATCGTTGCTGACTACCCCCGGTCGGGCTAATTATGAGTATCGACGAAAAGCAATACATGATCGACGAGAAATGGATAGTCCAACATGTTTAATATCATTGACAACTAAAGCATTGATGTCATTGAGCAGTCAAGCTTTACACTGATTACATGCCGTCATATCATTAATTGCGCTGTAATAAATTACTTTTACCCAATAGTTTAATAACATGATATTATTATTCAACAGCAGCGAATACCGTCTAAATAACAGTACAAATATACAGCGACATTGTACAGTTATTTCTACAGTAGAAAACCTGTTTGCCGTACGGGTCGGCGCGCGCACGCAAAACTGTCACACTCTCCTTCTTTCACTGATAAATTTATTGACTACACCAGCTGGATAATAAATCTCTTATTAGATGTTTCGGTGTGCAGTATCGCTTTTATTATATGGACACGAGTGTTTTACTGGAAAATACACCACTCGTAAAATTCATACGAAACCACATCCGGGACTCGAGTGGCGTATTTTCCATATCTTCACTAGTGAAGATATCCATGATTTCACTAATATCAAGTTTGTCTCTTAAATTGTACTTAAATTCGTTGGTGTAATATCGAAACATCTTCGGGTCTTCCTCGAAAGTCTCCGGCAATCTTCGGCACTCTTCAGCAATCTACGGAAATTTTCGGAAAATGTTCGGTAACGTTCGTGTGAACTTCGGACAAGTTTTGGAGAATCTTTGGAAATCTTCGGAAAGTGGTCGGAAATCTTCGGAAAATCGTCAAAAACGCCGTCATCAGTATGTCTATAATAAAAGGAACATTGCACGTCAGCTCAAAGATATGAATTTTATATTCTCGTGGCAAGAACAATATCTCACTCGTTGGCTGCGCTCACCCGTGAGATATTGTTCTTGCCACTCGAACATAAAAATTCATATCTTCTCGCCAACGCGTAATATCCTCTATATATTTGTACTCGTTGTTTGTATTTTGACGTGCCCTACGGGCTCGTCAAAATACGGCACAACTCGTAAAAATATACAGCAAAACTACACACCAAACCATCTAATAAGTTGTATGTATAACACGACGGCAACGACAGCAACAATATCATAGCAACTTTGTTTTGAAATGGTCTGCTTATAAAAACTGTTCAACTACCATCCCACACCCCTTCACCCCTTCAAAATAAAATCTTTGCTTGACCTTTTCTTGTCTTTCGGTCATCTCGAAGGTATTTAAATTAACACGAGGTATCCGCCTTAAATAAGTAGCGACTCCTCGAATAAACCTGGCTTACTTGTATCACAAACAGTGGAAAAAACACGACCAGCTACAGCGACCTGTATCAAAATGATATGATATTTGTCTTACATGATCCTCGTTTCTAAAGCAATATAATCATCTGTTTTGATGTAATACAAATCACTTGGAACAAGATTTATCAGTTACATCCTCTCCATATTGAGGATCTTTATCTAAATATATTCGTTTTTTTATCACGGTAGGCTGTTTCGGTGCAAATCGCTGGTAGCCGTTCTAGGTTACCCACCCGTGACGCTAACAACAGCATATTCGAACATGTAATTCGTGATTCGGCTTTCGCGGATCCACAGCTGTCAGGTTTCTTTCTGCCATCTCTTTGTTCGCAGGGCAACTTTTATTTCACTTGTAGGGGTGTGAGTGGGGCTAGGGTTCAGTTGAAAAGTGCAGGACTCCAACGAGGTTTATCAACTCAGATTTCAAACGTTTTGTTTTATCAACAATCAGAAAATTCAAAGGTAAACAACAAAAAGTGCACTTTTCGATACCCAATTGGTCCAGGGAGGTTAACAACGAAATTATTCTCACACACATTACTTTCCCAATCGGCAACAGACTTTTAACCTACCTTGCGATATTTTTGTTCACCCATTTCATGGCCTCTATCTGATCCAGCATGCCGTAGTTTCCTCTCAAATTGCCACTGTTCGAGCTCAAAAATCCCAAAACTCCCAAACGATAAGCAGCCGTGACGACAATCACGTTCCCCTCAGTTGCCAAGATGCTTCCATCATACTCTGTGATATCTCCTACAGTGAAGCCGCCACCATGAATCCACAACATCACTGCTAGTGCCGAACTGTCGGTTGCATTCCCAGGCACGTGTACCGCAAGTTGAAGGCAATCCTCGTTCATAAGAGGGATTTTAAATTTACTAGCAGGCCGAAGCGATTGTGGGCAAATCTTGGTAGTCCTGTTCGCATTCAGAGCTGTTGTCCACTTGTCCGGAGGAACGGGATATTCAAAACGTTCCGCTTTGGCGAAAGGGATTCCCAAATAGCGGATGACAGTCTTGTTTGACCCAAGAACTGTTACGAACCCGCTAACAGGTCCATAAGTCGTATTTATCGTCGGTGCGGTCTTTGAGGATACGCACAGAAGAAGCATCGAGGATGCCATGAAGAAAACCGCCAAGGAAAATACGGCCATGACGAAGTCCTGTTGAAGTCAGCTAGCAATGTAGCTTTCAATACTACATGTAAGAATTACCTCAGCGCTTATTTAAGGTATGATGAATCGGCAGAAACAAGCGACAGCCGGCGGCCGGAAATACGCGACAGCCGGAAATACGTCTGCATTCGTACCTTGTACAAATGTGACACATGAGACAGTGTTGTGTTACGCTTCAAAGCAGTAAAGCATGAGAAGAATTAATAAATGAGTTGCCAGGAATCGGATACCCATGTTTGCGCAAAGCACTCTGGGATCGTCAGGGGGCAAACATTGCAAGTCGCTAGAAG